GGGCGGGGGGGTTTTTTATTAAGAAATCCCACCCCCCCCACATGGGGGGAGGGGGAGGGAGGGGAGAACAGATTATTATTTCACAGCGCGGGCGGGAAGCCTCTAAAACTTAAAAAAAAAACCCCGGGCCCCGTTGGGGTAAGTCTATGGGGGGAAAAAAAAAACCCGGGGGGGGGGGGGGTTCCCTATTGACATAACACCAATGTTCGGGGGGGGCAGCTCTCCGGCCCCCGGGGGGTGTTGCAACCAGAGGGTAGGGTTGGGAAGCCGCCAATGAAGCGGCGGCGGCGGCGGCGGCGGCGGCAGCGCGCGCGCGGCGCGTGCGACGGGGGGGCGGAGCAGCGACCGCTGGCGCGGCCGCTGCTCCGTCTGTGCCAGGGACGCGCGCTCTGCGCCGCTGCAGAGCGCGCGCGTCAGGGCAAGGGGCATGCGTGGCGGCGCGGGACGCGCGGCGGCGGCGGCGAGCAGCCTCCGTGGGCGGTGAGGCGGCCGGGCGAGGGCGAGGCGGGTGACGGGTCAAGGGAGCAGCCCACACCCGGCGTCGCTTTTTGAGCGACGCTGTGGTACGCTGCGCAGGGGCCGCAGGGCGGTCAGTTGTGGGGCGAGGCGGTGCCGGCCGCGGGCCGGGTGCAAGGCGCCGGCCTCGGCGCCGCCTCGGCGCGCCGCACGGGCCGCGGCGGGTGACGGGTCAAGGGAGCAGCCCACACCCGGCGTCGCTTTTTGAGCGACGCTGTGGTACGCCTGCGCAGGGGCCGCAGGGCGGTCAGTTGTGGGGCGAGGCGGTGCCGGCCGCGGGCCGGGTGCAAGGCGCCGGCCTCGGCGCCGCCTCGGCGCGCCGCACGGGCGCGGCGAGCCTCTGAGCGGGAGCCGAAGGTTTGCCTGTGGGAGGTGGGTGGCCGGTGGTGGGGGTGATTTGACTTACTCTCGTGAGCTGTGAACAGACGCACTTGCCCTCGGGGGCAAGTAACCCAAATCCGCTAGGTTGGGCGTGCTTTCACAGCCTCACGAGAGTAGATTTGACTTTGCCGCAGAGGCCGTCCCTAGCTGTGAACAGCAAAACGGGACGGTATTTGAAAGATATTGTTGAAAACGATCAGGCCCGGCCCGCAGGCGCCTGCAGATTTTGAAATAAATTCGACGAAATTGGTACCTGGCCCAACTCACCGCAGCTCCACCTGATCGCCCTCGCCCTCCCTTTCCTCGGTCGCGGCGTCAAGCGCCGCGCTTGCCACCCTGCCCACCTTCCACGTCGCGAGGAGCGTCGCAATCACGCCGGCGCCAAGAATCAGCCATCGCGGCACCGGGCCCTCCTCGTGCGCGCCCGCTGCGCCGGAGGCGGCGTCGGCAGCAACCTCCGCGCCCGCCGCGCCGGCGTAGCAGTACACCGCGGAGAAGGGCAGCAAGCCGACGACGGTACCCGCCGTGTACGGGCCGAGCGACACCTGGGTGAACGCGAGCAGAGCCGATGCGAGCACGAGCGGCATGGCCGGCGACAGCCGCAGCAGCACGACGATGGAGAGCGCTCCCTCCTTGGCGATCGCGCGGTCGAGCGCGGCCACCTTGCCACGGACGATCGGTGAAGGCAGGCGGTGGGGGCGGCGGCGAGGGTGGTCAGAGGGATAGAGTCGCGTTGGTTTGACCCAGCCCTCGCAGGGTTTGTAGCCTGCCATCTTCCGGCGTTGTGCTGCCCTAAAGAGTCTGGCAGTGTGTGTGTGTGTGTGTGTGTGTGTGTGTGTGTGTGTGTGTGTGTGTGTGTGTGTGTGTGTGTGTGTGTGTGTGTGTGTGTGTGTGTGTGTGTGTGTGTGTGTGTGTGTGTGTGTGTGTGTGTGTGTGTGATGCTTGTTTTTGCTTCGACCTTCAACGTTGAAGCTTCATGCAGATCGTGCACAGAAACATGCAGGACAGAAACCAGAGCCGTAAAGCCGCCGAAACAAAAGCTGGCCGCCGGGGGCAAACCCCGCCACACAAGCGCGGCGTGCCCCGCCCCTCAGCAGGCCTCGCCGCACGTGGCCTCGCAGCACTTCAGGTCGTCGAGGTACATGTTCATCTTCCTCGCAACCTCGACCG